AGAGAGAGAGAGAGATGTTTGCTATAAGGTATGCACGCTTGCCAGAGAGACACACAGAGGCAGAAAGTGAGAAATCACCTCCTCCCCAGGGACATAACCATGCCGCAATCCCTTCTCCATTCTCTTCTCTGGATTTTGGGCATGCACACTTATGTGCCCGGCAAGAGTCCCAAGCAGCCGGATCCAGGACTTGAACTGCGGTCGACTGTGAGGGAGTCCAGCCATTATGCTATCTGCTGGTCCCTATATGTTTTTTAAGCCACAGAGGCTGAGATTTGAACTGTGCTTGGCCATGTGGGATCCGGCTTCCTTAACCACCAGGCCACAAGGCCGGCCCTGTCATGGTGCCTTCAACAGCCCTGCCCCCTACATCCCAAAGCTTAAAGGAAAAGGTGGCAGGGACAGATTTATCCCCCGGTACGCGTGTGCTTCAGCTGGGGTGGGCCAAGCAAGGATGGAGGACATCATTCTCTGCTTCACTGTGCCAATGAGGTCACATGCCCCAGGGTATTTGGCTCACACTGGCTCTCACTGTGTAAGAATCCCTGGAGCCAGCAGGTGGCGTGGTGGTTAAGGGTGCTGGACTCCCACATGACTGACTGTGGTTTGAGTCCCGGACCTCGTGGCTTGCTTTCTCACTTCCTCTCTCTCTCATTCTGTCCCTCTCTGGTCAAATTAAAATGAACAAATAAAGTTAAATAAAATAATTCTATTTTCATAGTTTTTTTTAAAAATAATTTATTTAACTTTATTTGTTCATTTTAATTTGACCAGAGAGGGACAGAATGAGAGAGAGAGGAAGTGAGAAAGCAAGCCACGAGGTCCGGGACTCAAACCACAGTCAGTCATGTGGGAGTCCAGCACCCTTAATCACCTTAATCACTGGCCCTTAAATAATTCTAAAAAAAAAAAATAGAATCGCTGGAGAACTGCAGAGAAATGCAGTGGAGATTTTTAGGGGCATTCCTTGCAAACATGTTGTCCCACTTCTCTACCCCGAGAGCAAACCCGTCACCTCCGGATAAGAGGTGAGGGTCACCAGCAGCTTCCTCCGTCATGGCCGGGCCGAAGGGAGCGCACCAGTGCCAGC